GCAGAGCTCAGCTTCAAACACTCATAAATAGTTTGCATTTTAACATAGTCCACCAAATGTACACAAGAGAGATACTGGACAGACTATCTGTGATAACTCATTTTAAGGATGTCCTTGAAATCCTGGGCCATCACCCTTTTGCTCATAGCTCCTGTAGCAACTGTCACTTATGAATGACCCATTATCCTTATTATGGTTTCTATCTAGACTCCCTCCCTCCAAGCCTTATGTGTTCATAGGCAGGGCTTTTGGAAGGTGATTGAATCATGAAGGTGCATGAACAAAATGTGATGTTAGAAGGTCGGGCTTGGTGGCAAGATCAGGTCACTGGGAATGCTAGCTGGCAGGGTATATTTCGTTCTTGCTAGTTCTTGTCCTCTCTTCCTGTTTTCCGGCTGTCATGATGTGAGCATCTTCCCTGTACCAAGGCCTTCTACCCAGGCTGTTCTGTGTGTTATGCCTATTGAATATGGACTGAAAATTCTAAAATTTGACCCAAATAAACCTCTGCTCCTTCAAGTTGTAGGTTTTAGGTATTTTGTCCAACCAATGCAGAGAGCTACTATTAGGAAAAGTCATTACTTTTCATCCATACATTAAATCTTCTCTTTCTATAAATTCTCAAGTTCCAGATTTCCATCCCAAATACCCATAAATTATATCCAGCTTGTGAGTCTGTCTGTCTCTCTCCCTCCACTCACATGCACTCTATTTCTTTGAGTGTGTACTTTAAAAATTCTTCTAATTAATCCCTTTACACCTCTCTTAAAAATGAATGAAACAACAAGACCCAACTCTATGTTGCTTAAAAGAAACTCATTTCTCCTCTAAGGAAGCAAATAGACTAAAAATAAAGACCTGGAATAAAATAGTCCATACAAACTTAGACCAAAAAAAAGTGGGAATAGACATGCTTATATCAGATAAAACAGACTTTACATCTAAAGCAGGGAAAAGAGACCAGGAAGGTTATTATTGCTAATTCAGCAAGAGGAATAATTATAACACCTAATATCAGAACACCTAGGTAGATAAAGCCTTCTTAACAAATTTAAAGGGAGAGATAGAATCAGATAGCAGTTGGGCATTTTAACACCCTACTTTCAACAATGGACGTATTATCCAGACAGTAAATCAACAAAGAAAGGGCAGAGTTAAGTTGAATCCTACACCAAATGAACCTAACAGACATCTACAAATGATGTTCAACAACTGCTGAATACATTTTTTCTCATTAATACACCTATTCTCCAGGAAATGTCATATGCCATAGAATAAGTCTCAAAAATAAAACATAAAACAACAAAACAAAACAAAAATGAAACTGCATGAACTATCTTTCTGACCTTAAGCAATAAAACTAAAAATCAATTAACAAAAACTTTGGAAATTATACAAACACATGGATATTAAACAAGTTAATTTTGAACAACTAATATAAGAGATCAAGAAGGAAACTAAAATATTTTTGAAACAAATGAAAATGGAGACAGAATATGTTGAAACCTATCAGAAACATCAAAAATGATGCTAAGGGAGAAGTTTATACTAATAACCATTTACTTCAAAAATTACAAAGATCTCAAATAAACAATCTATCATCACATCTCAAGGAAACAGAAAAATTAGAACCAACCAAACCCCAAATCAGTAGAAAGAAAGAAATAATACAGATCAGAAATGATACAAATGAAATGCATGTTAAAATATGCAAAAGATAAAAAGAAACAGAAGAAAAGAAAAAGAAACAAACAAGATAAACATTAAGCTAAACTAAGAAAACTCTAATAAATAAAAGCAAACTTTAAAAAAGAAATATCATAGAAATAAAAAAGATAATTACAAATTATTTTGAAAAATTCTATACCAACAAATTTTATAAACTAGAAGAAATATACAAATTCATAGACATATATACCCTACCAAGAATGAATCTTGAAGAAACAGAAAACCCTAAACAGACCAATAGTAAATGAGAAAATGAACTCCAGTAATAAAAATCTACTATCAGTGAAAAGCCCAGGACTAGATGGCCTCACTGCTGAATTATACCAAATGTTTAAAGAAGAACTAACATGAATTCTCCTTAAGTTATTCCAAAAAAAAATAGAAGACACAGGATACTTCTAGACATATTCTACTGTGTCAGGCTTATCTGGATGCAAAACCAGATAAGGACACAACACCACACACACATACACATGCACACATGCACACACATACTCTGCAGGACAATACCCTTGATGAGCACACCCACAAAGATCCCCCCAAAATATCATCAAACTGAAATCAACAGCACTTTAGAAAATTATTCATTATGATGAAGTGAGTTTCATCCCAGGAATGCAAAAATGGTTCAGTATACACAAATCAATAAATGTAACACACCACATCAACAGAAACAAGGACAAGGACTGTGTGGTCATCTCAATAAATGCAGGGAAAGCACTTGATAAAATTCAATCTCATTTTATGATAAGTATGCTGAATAAAGTAGGTATAAAAGAAATGTATCTCAACATAAGAAAAAACATTTATGATAAGTTAACAGCTAACATATTGAAAGGCAAAAACATGAAATATTCTGAGTTCTGCCACAAGACAAGAATGCCTACTTTCACCACTTTTATCAAATGTTGTGCTGGAAGTCCTAGCAAGGCCAGTTAGGCAAAAGAAGGAAATGAAGGGCATCCAAATTGGAAAAGAAAAAGTCAAACTGTCATTGTTTGCAGATGACATGATCTTATATACCACCAAAAATCTATTAGAACTAATAAACAAATTGAACAAAGTTGCAGTGTACAAAAAAAGCAACATATGAAGAACAGTGGTGTTCCTACAGGCCAATAGTGAATTATCTGAAGTAAATCAAGAAGGTAAGTACAGTTATAATAGTTATAAAAACATGTAGGAATAAATTTAACTAATGAAGTGAATGACCTGTGCAATGAAAATTATAAATATTAGTGAAAGAAATTGAAGAGGACATAAGAAAGTGGGAAGTCATCCTGTGTTCATAGATTGGACAAATAATATTGTTAAATTGACCATATACCCAAAGCAATGTACAGATTCAATGCACTCCCCATAAAAATATCAATGATATTCTTCACTGAACTAGATAAAACAATGCTCAAGTTTATAAGAAATCCTACATCCCCAAATAGCCAAAGCCATTTTGAGCAAAAATAACAAAGCAGGAGGTATTACACTACCTAACTTCAAAACATCATACAAAGCTATAATAATTAAGAAATCATGCTAGAAGTATAAAAACAAACACATAGACCAATAGAACAGAAGAAAGACTCTAGAAGTGAACCCATGTACCCATAGCCCATGATTTTTGAAAAATTTAACCATAAAGAAATGACTATTGTTTGAAGACATGTTTAACTTGACTGAAATACTGTGTAGTGTGTACATGTATGGAAATATTACAGGATACCCCATTAATATGTAAAATTTTATATTTCAGGTTTTTTTTAAAAATACCTCAGGATCCCAGAAACATACTTTAAAGACACAAGACTCAACCACCAAAAGAGTTTGTTGAATGCAAAGCAACAAGAAATAATTCAAACATGCTTAGTGCAATTACCCTCACTTCTGGTCTTTTGGCCTCAATTAGTAGAGCTGAAGAATGAATAAAACAGACAAAAGAAAGGTGGCAGGAGGGAATGTTGGAGGGCTTAAGGTAGAATGAAAAGATGAAGAAGGAAGAAATGGAGAAAGAAAACTTAAGGAAGAAAAGGGGAAAAAGCAACAACAAATAATAAATTTAGCAAATTCTTCAAATAATGGAAAAATCTCTACATAAAAAAAGAGATGGATGGAGGGAGAAGGGAAGAAAGAGAAAGGAGATAAAAGGAATTAAGATGTATTATATATTCCAATGTTTACAAGAAATGCAAACATTATGTATTATACACATGTACTAATAAAAAAAATGACAGGATGCATCTTTTCTTCCCTTCCTACCCTCTACACTGCATTTCTCTTCCAGGCTTAGCAGTTTAAAGGAAAATGATAGTTAAACTTCATTGTAAGGGACAATATTTAAAAAATTATAACTCAGTTTATTTTAAATCTAGAGTTATTCTTGCAAGTATTCTTTAAAAGATGGTTGTTTTTATATCTACTTTTGAGTTAAGACACTAATTTCTATATAAGCTAAAAAGAAGTAATAGAGCTTAAAAACAAAAATAATCCTATTATAAGTATTAGATTATAATTGGGTATTTCAATTATCCCCCAAATTTTGTGTATTGTCTTGGGGGTGTTTCTAAAAAGAGGTATGGATTATGGCATGAAATCAATAAATTAGGGAGCAAAGTGATAATTAGAAGGGATAGGTTCTGGTTCTATTGCATAGTAGGGTGACTGTAATTAAAACTAATGCATGGAATATTTCAAAGCACTGGAGAAGGATTGTATATGTTCTCACCACAAAGAAACGATAAATATTTGAAGTAGCGGATAAGCTTATTACCATGATTCTATCATTATACAATGTATACGTGTAACTAAATGTCACATCGTACCCCATAAATCATGTGTCAATTTAAAAAGTAAACAACAACAAAAAAGAAAATCAGTGAAGTAAAACTTCTGTAAAATTTTCTTTTATTTGTAATTTCTAGGGGAACAATAAGCAAAATAAGAAAATAAGAAATATAGGGGAACCATAAGCAAAATAAGAAAAGCAAAATAAGAAAAATAAGATAGAAAAGGGAACATATCTTGTTTTTCTAATGCAAATTTTAAAAACATAAAGAAGAAAATGTTTACTTGCTGAGGTTATACTGTTTTAGTTTTTAGTAGAACTGTAATGCATTTGTTATAGTGTTTTTGGAATAGAGATATAATCTAGGTAGACTTTTTATTCATATAAACTAGTTTTAGCTACATTTAAATTGTGAATTATTAGAAAAAAGAGGAATTTAAATATATTGAGAGGATAAGAAAATAACATGTAAAAACTTAAAATGAAAACTTACCAGCTGTTTCACGATCAGTGTGGGTTAGGTATTTCTTACATATGTAAGGAAAGGTGGACTCACAGTCCCTACTCCTCCAGGCAGTTGGCACAGATGAATGAAATGTTCCACAGTGGTATTCAACAAATGGCTCAAAGTGGATCTCTGAAAATACAATGTGTATGTTTAAAGTGAGTTTAATACACACCAAGATGCAGTTTTACCATCAGGGGACACGTCCCTTTGCACAGATGGTGAATCCTATAAGGTATTAAGGTACATCTATGATTTTGCAGTTAAAATCCAAGCATGAGTTAAATGATTTGCCAAAGTTTGCAAAAGCACTAATTTTATTATTTAAAGAGGAAGATTATTTACCAATTGTTGTTATTTTTAAAACAGCAGACCGAACTTTGAGTCTGACCCAAATTTTGCAACTTTGGCTAAATAGCTTACTTTCCTGGCCTCTCCCTTCTTGTCAGAACGAGCTTACCTTAGGGTAATTCAGGACATGCCTGATAGCTACATGAGAAAAGCTGCTGTTCAACGCTGCAGGATGATGTCACCTGCCAAAGGTAAATAAAGCGGTGCTGATGGGTACCTGGGTACAAGTTCAGATAGCTCAGCGGTGCTCCGTCGGACCACTGCCAGCCAGCGTTTTGATCTAGCTGGTTCAAACCTATCCACACTTCCATTGTTTCATTGCTCATGTGCTCTGAAAAGGAAATTATGGAGCTTCAAAAATAATTTAGTGTTACATTTTTCATTTTATCCTATTCCTGGATCATAGAATCATCAGTTAATCCCAGACAATGAAAGAAAGGATTTTAGGTACTACAGAGTGACAAAGTCAACCTCTGTCTTCTTCAGGAATCCAACAATCCTCCAAAGCTTCACTGACAGGGCTTCATGCGAGTGTCCAGAAATAGTCCCTTTCAATAGTCCTCAATCTATTCCAGGGTGTGGGTTAAAAATTAGTTAATTTTATTTTCATGGACTCATGAATTTAAAGAGTTTTAGAGGAAGGAGGAAGTGTCCATGGTCACCCCAGAAACTGAGCAGAGGCGTTTTCAAATTTAAGAAGGTGTGTGGGGGCAGGGAGAGCCACGGCGAACTGTGTGATCAGGAGAAGCAACATCATCTGGTATCAAGAGGAATCTCCAGCAAGTGGGGACTATGGCCAAGTATACAGTGCAAACTTGAGGCTGCTTCTACTACAGTACTTTCGGTGGGAGAAGGTTTTATGGCAGGCTAACCACTGCACCATAGCAATTTCCAGCTTGACTCAGTACATTGTTGTTATAGACATGATAGATAGACATGCAGTGACATACTTATGCAGGAAAATATGGTCATCAAAATTGTAGAATTATGAAAGGTTTTTCTCTGATTTTTCTTTTTGTGCCCTGAATTTTAATTTTTTTTTCTAAGCATTTACTACTAGTATAATAAAATTTGGGAAAAAGCCAGTGTCTGAAATTTTAGGGAAAATGGTCAATTTCATGATATGCTCAAAGGTGTACCATTTTATTATTCTACACAGGAAAGCATTTTCTTATAGTTCATCTGTTTCAGAACTCACTTTATTTTGAGCCAGATGCAAAAACCTGTCCCAAGATTGAGATCCTTCTAGGGGTTTTAAGTAGGTAGTCTCTATGTCCCAGCTTCCCTGGGAAGCTCATGGGTTATGCTGATAGTCCGAAAATAACAATTAATCATAACCCCTTTTACTCTCAAGAGCCTCGAGTTGGACGACAGACTGGGTGAATAGCTGGTATGAGGCCAGTGTATTTACATTAACAGGCTGCAGCATCCTCAGCAATCAGACAGTTCAGCACAATTGTGGAAAACTGGAGGAACCTAAGGCTCTTAGAAAAAGAGATCCCAGAAATCACTAAACAGAACGACCCTATTTCCAAGTTTCTGTGGCATGAACATGAAATCTCTTCCTAATATATATTCAATTACTGCTTTCAATACCAAGTGTTTGATTAAATCACTTATAAGGACAGAGATGTATTGGAAGATGCAGTAACAAAATTTCCAGGGCAAATTTTCCACATGCATATCGAGGTTAGTGCCAGATGATATTTTTAAATAATCTAATCAAAATATTTAGATATTTATTACTTTTGGAGTTATTTTGAACACTGGTTATGCAATTGTTTTATTAATTCACATATAATCATTCTGTAAGTTATAGTCTGTATTTAAAGGTACAGAAACAGTTCATTTACCTTTACAACTAAATTGGTCTATAATACTCCAATAACAAATTCAAACACAAATGCCTACAAATGTTTCTGGCATTCGTGACAGCTTACTTAATTCCTTATACCATAGTTAATGTCCACCAGTGATTAGCAAGAAACATAGTAAGAATCTCATCATTAAAAATACTTTGGTGGCCAGGCATGGTGGCACATGCCTGTAACCCCAGCACTCTGAATGTTTAAGGGAGGACTGCAAGTTTAAACACAGAGTGGGCAACCTAGTGACTTAGCAAGAGCCTGCCTCAAAATAAAAGATTAAAATAAAAGGCCTGGGGATGTAGTTCAGTGTGAAGGCCCTGCATTCAATCCTCCATCCTGCAGAAAGCAAACAAACACCTCTAAAACTCTGGTCAGATTTCTATTTTCCTCAACAATCTCCAAAGTCTAATGAAAGAATTGAAGTTTTTAAATCAAAGTCTCTGACGCATTGTATTTTTAAAAATTTTTACTCAAGTTTAACAAATAGGTTCAAATTCCTTTATAGGAGATTCTGGCAATTAAGATAGATAACAACTGAAATTTATAAATGATGCTCAAACTTTTACATAAAAACCATCCCAGGTTAGTGATGATCTTGGAAATTTGTGTGTTCCTCCAACAGTACTCACTCAGATCAGTTTCAATAATAATTCTCCACTTTTGCACAGCTCTGAGGGAAAAGCAAGTATGCCCTGTGTATCTATTTGTTACAATCTTTCTGGATCCACTTCTACAAACTTACAGAGAAGTAATTTGGGAACAATATATAAATATATGTAGAAGGATTGTTTGTAATAAGAAGTATATAAATAAAAACCAAAGTTACATCAAACTGTAGACGTGGACATGTTTTCACTATATGCAGGTAAATTAAATGGTTAGCTTATCAGACAGGGTGTGAGGGGGTCATCAAGTGGTTTACATACACTATTGTATTATGTGTGTCTGTTACTTTTCTAGGACTTCACTTGCATTATAGCATGTAACACACATGAACAAGTGCATACGGTTATTATTTCCACTGGACAGAGTGAGGGTATTCAGCCACAGAGTGTTTAAGGAGCTCAAAGAGCTACTACTCAGTGATATAGACAAGACTGAAATGCAGGCAGGAAACTGAATGGTCCCTAAACACCTAGACACTGCAATAACCACTTCATGTTTTTATATAATACTCTTTTTTGTAGATACTATGTATGTATACATGCATAAATATGTTCTTGCAGAAAGCTATAGCTAACCAGACTGAGTTTTTCAATTGCTTTTCTTCTGTATAGCTGCATTAAAAATTATTCCAAAATAAACCTGTACTACATGTCCAATAAATTTGAGAAAAAAGTTGGGTCAGAAATGTTTAATGAAAGTGACTAATTTTTTGAAACTTTTAATGTTTCAAAAAATTTAAGAGGGCACAAATACATTTAATCTGTAAGGGAGAAGTAAGGGGAAAATTTAGGTGATGAGAAACAGATCTCAGCTCATCAGCACAATTCCTTTGACATTTTATGTATTGTCTTATACTGTGAGTTCACATGCCCATACTTTGGCTTTTTCCACTAAATTTTAAGTTCTTTGGCCTTAAAAGGCATAAGACATATTTGCACACAATGGGTGATAGATATGCTGTTAATTAATAGATTATTTAATTATTAATAAATGGAAATTGAATGGCTAAGGTCTCTGGAAAAGCAGAAATTGGCACTTAAATTAGAAGTCTTTGATCCACTTGCTAGAGCTGCAGGTCTCCTAGGTCTCTTTCCATGGCCTTGAATTCTCTTTTTTAAGGGGAGGAAATGGGAGGATATGATTGATTGCCAGAGGGAAAGGCTTAGAACTCATGTAGAAATTCTGAGTAAGTGTTTGGGCCATAATAAGAAAAAGGACAGTATTTGTAGGGAAAAATTTCAGAATATAGCTTTGTATATAGAAACATAACTGATAGGAGTCATTTTGTTGTATAAATATCAATGTGCATCATCCACCTACTTACTCTTTATGAAATTTTCTTCATTTTCATCTTCAATACTTAATAAATTGCCTCCTTGCATCTGGCATGAAGAATGTGCCTCATTCCAAGAAAGAAATGAAAGCAGGTTGAATTGGTAGCAAATGTGTGAATTGATGTCCTTCTCCCAGATAGTGTCACAAGCTACTTTTGTAGAGGCTGGGAAGAAAGTCCATTAAAGATTCATTAACCTTATTTTACTTATACAGCAATATATTTCTAAGATGTATTAGAATGGAATGATTCTCATCTGCTACTGCAGAAACTTCACTACTTTAAGTATTTTGACTACGTCTTTACAATGAAATACACATTGTTACTCCACTGATGGTTTACAGGTAAATAAATTACTAATAATTACTAATATTTTCAGTTTGTTTTCATGTCTAGTTACAATAACTACTAATTTCAAGACTTGTAGAAACTCAAGAAATTATCAATAAAGAACCTCTGATACACTCAGGGAAAATAATAGACACTAGTTTCAAGAGAAAGAAGTAGAAATGAAATATTCATGAAAGTAACACTTTAGTTTTATAGTAAACATTCATTTAGAACTTTACACTGAACTCTGTGAATTTAAATATTTATTTGAGATAGACAAAAGACTTTCCTCTCTAAAAACCAAAGTGATAAGTGCAATAAAAAGTACTACATGTAATAAAGAGTGCTAAGTGCAATAAAAAGGATATAGTAGATATGTGATATGTGATTACAAGTTTAAACTTAAAATGTAATTATAGTAAAATACACATTGCCATCAATTCCCCTCAAAATACTTCCTACACTACTTCCAATACATTTATCCCATCATTCCTACCACTTTTTTTTTTTTTCTGAGATAGGGTCTCACTTTGTAGTGTAGGCTGGGCTGGAGCTCACTATGTGTCCCAGGCTGGCCTGGAACTCACAGCAATTCTGTCTCGGCCTCCCGAGAGTGGGATTAAAGGTATGTTCTGCCATGCCGGTTCTTACCACTTCCTAAAGCAGTTCTAGAAGTTCTCTTTTGTGAATGTGTTTACAAAATATGATTGGAAATGGAGTAAATTCTGCTCCCAAGTGCTGTCAAGTGGAAAGACAGGCTTGGAAAAACCTTAGCGTCTCCTCAATCACTTTATTCACTGGATATAGTAACACGTGACTCCTGGCTCCTCCTCAAAGTCAAAATGACCATGAAAGGTAAATGTCTGAGTTGATTAAAGACATCAAGGCAGCCACAATAGCACACTAAAGACACTCACAAAAAGAATTGCTTCAGACAGTGGCAAAGCAGATGAGAGAAGTATGTGTGAAGTGAAGGGGAGTATTTTTGAGAGGGATTAATGGTAATAAATGTAAACATTCAATGTATTTTTCAATCACACCCCATCTGAGTTCATGTTCCATTTAATATAGGAATAATTAGTTTTTAATCAGACTCTTAGCCTATTTGAGTAGAAGCAAAACCCACTTGTAAGACATTGGACAAAGATTGCATAATAAGTTTCAAAGTAAATTTATAAGAGTATGAAAAAGGGGATTTGAAATATGAAGTTTACCAAAATGACAGAAATTGAACCCCTAGTTTGAATTTTAAATTGAACCCCAAGGTAAATTAAAAAGCCACAATAATTACTAGAAGTCATACTCAGACAGAGGATTTCAAAATGTAGAAGATACAGCATGAGTGTAACTGATGGACAGGCAACCTGCTACAGTCTAGAATTTTCTTTCCCAAAGTGCGGTCCTCAGAGTAAGAGGACTTCAAGAATTTAGCTAAGAAAAACTGGAGCATAATGTATAGGATGCTTTTTTGGGAAATACATTAGCAAATTAAGTACTCTAAGAATTTCTGCAGCTAAGAAAAGTGCTGAATTTTAATTTAGTATTCTTCAAACTAATTTCACAATGAAGTCTTTTTCATTTGTTTTATTTTCCCTATAATACTTTGGCTCCCCAAGGAAGTGTGGAAAGTTTGTTTTCATGTCTAGTTACAATACTTATTCCCCAGAATTGAGTCAGTTAATCAGAAGTTATTAAATCACATAAATGTAAGGTTGCTTATACTGTAGTACTTTCCTACCTGATACATATATTTAACAGATGGATCCAAGATCGAAGAGGCCGGAAGACAAGGCTATCATCAAACAACACCAAAGGAAAGGATGAAAAAGTAAGCAGAAAGAGGGAAATTTTCAGTAACCATTTGTCCTGGTAGCTAAAATTTCCTCACCAAGATGGAATTCTTAGAAACTCTCTTTGTTCAAAGTGCTCAGTCTTCCCTGAGAAGAGCTCAGTTAAGCTCATGCAGTATGACAGCTGAGACCACTGAGGGGAGCAGGGAAGTGTTTACAATGCCAGTGCACAGAATACTGTAGCCAGATTTTTAAATTGGAGAGGGAGAGAGAGAGAATGCAACTTCCTTGTTCTCGTCTCAATAGATTCTGAGTCAGTTATCTAGGGTGGGATTCAGGAACAAGCATTTAGAACATATTCCTACTTCCCGTTGCAGATATTCCATGAAGGAAACACTGTCTTAAAGCAAAAACTTCAAAGCCCTTCACTAAGCAGGCCTTAGATACTAGCAGACAGTAGGATATCAGAAGGGGAGATACGAAGGGCGTCAGTCCTAAGGGTGGAGCACAGTACATGCCTCTGACATGGGCAAAGACTTGACAATAAGTCCCAGTCACAAGTTTCTAGGCCATGGCCATATACACAACAAGAAAATTCTGGAGGATACTGCTACTGACCTCATTCCCATTTCTGTCAAGAACTGATCTTGCTTTTTCAATACGGCCTGAGGTCTGTGTATTAAGTAGTCATGGTGGGTGCTTGCAGGAGATCGTGTCTGCGCTGCACTTTACACAGCCCCTTTATGCTAAACTTTGCTTGGTTTTGGATGATCTGTGACAATTTTTAAGGTTAGTTGGTAGAGAAACTTTAGTCAAATCTTTGCAACAGACATATTCTCTTAGAAAGTCAGTTCGTTTGTCATCGACATTTGGTTTAACTAAAATGTAAGAATTTGCAGGTCAGTGTAGGCAGACACAAATGCTCTTTGCTTCTCCAGGTGGGCTGTGTGCCACTCCACAAATCTCACTTGAATGATTCTAAGTAAAAAATGGGATGAAAATGTCACTGTGGACCAGGCACAGTAATGAGCACCATGATACACTGCCTTGATCCTCATTCAGAATCGAAGGACTTATTTCTCCAGTGACCACGGCTCACCCTCCTCTTTAAGCCTCCTTTAAGGATTGCCATGGCTGAAGAGTCTCTGTCCAATGTCATTCTCCCTTCCTAAGGGCAATTGGCACCCCCTGGCTGATTAATGTAGGGATAAGCTCTCCTCATCCCAACCAGGGGAAACTTTCAAGAGACACCCAACTTGCAAATACCTCATAAGATCCCGCTGGGGATCACCAGGTTGCCTCACCCCACCTCTGTGCAGTCCTGCTGTCTTCCCTTCCTTTCCACATGAACACCTTGAGAAGACCCTCAGGAAATGCCACATGCTAATCTCTGCCTTACAGATAGCTTGCTAAGACCATTCTTGCATGGGGCCCCTATGTTGGCCTGAGACATTTGCACTTACTTATAATCTCTTCCCAAACCACTGAAAATGCAAGAGTGGAAGTTTCTGTAAGTATAATTATTCTGGAAAAATTCTAATTTAAGGACTAGAAGCATCTTTTCATATTTCTTTGTACATATTATTGTTGTTATATTATTTTTTCTGTCTCTAAATTTTGAGCTCCTTAAGGGATATTATTTGAGATGAGATTACTAAACTCTTTCTGTGTTATTATAAATAGGAGATCTTCCTCTTCCCAAACTCCACCCCTCTCATAATGAACTGAGGTGTTTATTAGCCCTGATTTCCCTATGAATTATGATTGAGATTCAGCCTTTCCTGCTTTTGTGTAAATGTGATTTATTTTCCTTTACTAAAGACATCATTTTGCTGTTATTCCAGGTGTACTGTTTCTTGTCATTTTCAAAAATTGTTGAATTTTTTAAAAATAAAGACTTATGCTTTCAGAGCAGCTATTGAACTCATAGTTGCAAAGTTACTATTGTTTTTTTCCTTTGGTCTTTCATAGACTCAGCAAATAGTTGTTGAATGCCTGCTCCCTGAAAAGTACTATGCTAGTAAATCTTTTATAAGAGGGGCCCCAGGCCACGTCCAGGCTTCTTGTAGAGTACTGTTTCAATGCTTTACAAGGTGCTTGGTAGGTATCTCTGATCACAACTAAAATTAAATGCCGCATTATGTGATTGCTTGTTAGTCATCTGTTTCTCCTGGTGAAGTACAGCTATAGGGAAATCAGGACATGCACTTCACCTTGCCATGCTGTCCTCCAAGCTCCCCATCATCACTGAAGGGCTGTCGGGGAGCAGAGGGCGTGCTGTCCCAGGAAGCTGGGAAGCGGCCACAAAGGAAAGGAGAGAACTGGTAAGGGTGGGTTGTAGAAACCTAAGGAAAGAGCTAGCGTATGTTTTCTTACATATTGCTCAATCTTTGAATAAAATGAAGACTGACTCCATTAATGACTTTATGGAGCTAGTTTCAGAGCAGGAATACAATTATCTGGATTTCTGTGCCTACACCACTCAGAAGAGCATTTCCAAGAAAAATTTTATTAGCCATCTCTTTATCTACCACCTCTAATACTCCCTGCAAACACTGCCAATTTTCTGCAGTAAGCTTAACCTCTCCATAGCCACAGTATCATTTCATGCTTTCCCTATTGTCCAAAACTCTCACTCTTTGGTCCCCCTCTTCAGAGAAATAGTCACAGCTGTGGGACCAGTTTTTCCTCACTTTCTCACATCACCTCGTTCAGAAGCTCTCTTGATCCTCCACCATCCTATGTTGGAATTGTATTACTTCCAAAGACCAAATGAAAAATAGGTATCTGAAATGAATAGACACTTCTCAGATGAAGAACAACAAATGGCCAATAAATACATGAAAAAATGTTCAACATCGCTGGACGTTTGAGAAGTGCACATTCAAATGACACCAAAATTCCATCTCACTCTGGAAAGAATGCCTGATATAAAGAACCAATATCAAATGCTGGTAAGGCTGTGGGGAAAAGGAACCTTTTCCACTGTTGCTGGGAGTGTACACTGATACAACTATTACAGAGAGCTAAGTTAGGGAAAGTATT